ACAGGCTAAACATGAAATTGAAAATGCCAAACGCTAAAAGACAACTAGGGGCCGTTCGACAATGTTGCCCATAGTAAAACTGTAACGAAACCCGATTGAACCCGCCATGGGTGGCTCGAGCTGCGAGCGAGACGGCAACATTGGCGGAACAGCAACAGCAATAGCAACAGCAACAACAGCTAGAGCAACAAAGCTCTGGACCGGGTGGACATGGACAATAACATGTACGAAAAATTTCATTGCTGGTGTGCTTTTTGCTCTATGCCTGGCCACGATTCGCAACAACGGCACAAATCTCTGCCCAAATATCGCTGGCGGGCGTTTTGACCATGGCGCATGCAGCTGCTGCGGGCCCAAAGCCAGGCCCAGCTACGGACATATCCTCAAGAGCAGCAACTGCAACAGCAACAATAGCAACAAACACAACGACAGCCAACGACAAAAGCCCGAAAAAAATAATTAATATGCCTCAAAAAAAAAAGGAAAACAGAAAAAAAGCAAAACAGAAACCGGGCAGCCTTTATGACAGGCGACAAGGGCAGGGTTCGCGGCAACATTCGATCGGGATGCAGCTGCAGTTGGACGCTGGCCGCTGGCCGCCGGCAGTGGCAGCAGTTTAACTAACGGCTTCTGTGCTTGTTGTGCTGCCGTTTCCGCATCTCGGTGTCGCCTCAGAATGTGCACGATTTTACTTCAGATTCAATTTCAAGTGCAGCAGCAGAAGCAGCAACAGCAGCAGCAGCATTAACAACAGCGCCAAGCGCCGCTATTAAGTCGACAACAACAACAAGCAATATGGCCCTAACTGAGCCAACCGAGCCGCCAGCGCCGTGTGCCTGTTTGCCACTGTCTGCCGCTTCTTGCCGAGATTTCTATCTTTGATCTCTTACTCCACATGGAGCAGCAGCAGCAGTGGAAGCAGCAGTGGCAGCAGCAGTGGCAGTGGCAGTGGCAGCGGCAGCTCCGCTTGCAGCTCAGGCTGTCTGCTTGTTAAATTGCTCATTTAAACCATAACGAAACGACTTGGATGGCTGGCTGCTTGGCTGGTTGGCTGGGCATGGCTTGGCCAGGCGCAGCATGTGCCGCCGGCTGCACTTCCTAGAACCGCGATCAGGCACTTGTTTGCCTGCCCCATTTGCTAGGGACACACTGGCTGCAATTTGCCCATCGGCAGTCATGCCATTGGCACTTTTAATTAGCATACAGCGGAAATTAGTTTGCCCACTTTATGTGACATCCGAAACAGCAGCAGCAGCAGCAGCAGCAGCAGCAGCAGCAGCAACAGCAGCAACAGCAGCAGCAGCAATAGTTGCATCGGCAGTGCCTACAATAGCCTCTCTCAAGCTGCTGCCTATGCCTGGACATAAATAATGATCTATGGCATTTATTGTTGACATTGCGTTAACGAGGCAACAACTGAGCAAATAACCAGCGACGCCTGACATCCACAATTATATGAGCAATGCCAATTTCTTGTTAAGGTTGACAGAAACAGTTATGAGCAAAGGTAAACGTTGACTATATAGAATATGCCGCAAACAGAAAGAATTGAGCAAAGGCGAAAACTTTCCTTCACTCATATCAAGAAAAAACTGTTTAAAGGGTGACCAAATAAAAGTCACTGGAAGAGAAAATTCAAACAATGTATTTTATATCCATATATATAGCCATATACTAGTCAAGGCGTATCACTCTATGAGCCAAGTTGACTTTGCTGGTGCCTCAATCATAGGGCATATTTGAAGGGCTTTTACAGCAATACCGTCTGGGTAGATGTGTTCTTCACTTTAAGTCAAAATATGCATATTAAACTCATAATTAGAATCGACTTCAAGGTCAACTCGCATACTAAAGATTTATTAAGCGAATGGCAAATCCTATTGAGTATTTCAGTAGCTTAATTAATGTTTCGAATAACTTAAAGAGCTAATGAAATATTTCTATCGATCTTAGTATTCAATGTATATTATATGGGCCCTTCACATCTAGGACTGAAACTAACTACTGAAACTAACTCTTAAAGATGCTGAGTAATATAAAATTTTTACCCTATAAAATGGACAAAAAGATATTCTATCTCCTTTTATCCGAATCAAGAATATTTTCACTATATATACTTAGGCACTTGCATACAACATCAATGTAGCCAAAAGCACTTTTACCTTATTTAAGATTATTTTTGATGATCTACAGATAAGAACAAATGAACGCACGGACGAACGGGTGGACAGAGCTTGGGTGTCTCAGCTCATTCTCTTTATTTAAAATTAGGCATATACATTTTGAGCTCTACCACGGCTGCCTCTGCCTGTTATATACATATAAATTATACCATTATACCCAGAATTATCAGTTTCAATGGATTCACAGAGCACATAACACCGTCCAAGTTTTCTCATATTAAATTATCTCGCCATAATTATATACCAGAAATAGAACTTGGCCAATCGAAAATGAAACTCTTCGAATCGCATTTGAATCTAAATACCCCAATCACATTTAAATCGAAATTCAAATTACTATGAGGTAGCTAAATGGAGCAGCAGAAAATCTGTAATCTATAGCTAAATAATAATTTCGCATAGAAATTGAATAAAATCGAGCCGTAAACGTGGTCAAGCCGCCAAATTGATGTCACAAAACCAAATCATAAATCAGGCAAATTATAGTTATTATTGCATGCCATATGAATACATATGCAGCTATATAAAGAGATATCTGTAGACAAGAGCTCGTAGAACAAGCGCCGCTGCCAAAATAAAAAATGGGAAAAAAACTGAAGAAAAAAAATATCTTGCTTAGAAAAAGGTCATAAATCTTGGCTTGGCAATGCTGTGGCCGGCAGCAATCGGCATCGGTATAGGTATCGGCATCAGCATCGGCATCGGCATCGGCATTGGCCTAGGCATAGGCATCGTCCATGCTTGACTGGACAATCATAATAATCACAGTCACAACGGGCTGGCCACTCGCTACAGCAGCAGCAGCAGCGGCAGCGGCAGCGGCAGCAACAACTGACAACAGGCAACAAAAGCTACTTACTATGTCTATGTCAAGCCGATATGCGACTGATAAAAACCTGTGCAGAAAACAATCAGATATAGAAATACACTAACTGAGAGCGGGCTATAAAAGCTAGCGCAACAATTGGCAAAGATGCGCCAAAAAACTTGAGTTTTTCTTAAGCAAAACGAAATATTTTTCGATTAGGTAAATGCTCTATAAATACCTATATAAATATTATATAGATTACAAACCCTGTAAAGGCCTTTACTCAAGCATTTAACAGCCTTTGGGCATCAGCAAGCGTATTCGAGCTTCGTTCATATTCAGTTTCCTCTTTTCCGGCTTGTTATTCATTGTTTTTGTTGTGTGTCTCTCTATATTTCTCCTGCAGCTAGCAAGAAAATTGACAATTGCGCACCTGCTTCATTTTCTTCTTCTCTTAGAAAGCGGCAACACTGCGACTGCAACTGCAACAGCAACAGCAGCAGCAGCAACAATGCCGCAGCGGTTGCCTGTTTAATGGCACTTAACGGTCAACATGCTCACTGTGTAGCAGTAAACTTTGTGCTTATAGCAAAAAAACTTTCCAAAAACAAACAAAAAAAATAAGCAAAAATAAAACTGAAAAGAAAGAGAAAAATCTTGCGCAAATATATGCCTATATTTAGCTATGCAGCTCATATTGTACTTGGACCTTCGATGTGAGGCACCTTGCATTTGCATAAGAAAGCCACAATCCAAATATTTCCATATGCATGCATTTACATATGAAACAGTGTATGAGCAGTATTTAATAAAATGCAGCAATGCTCTAATTGTATGTTAATCGGGCGAGCAGCCAAATAAATCTGGGCTGGAGACAACGATCCAAATTGAATTATGAGCAGGATCTGGGTTGCAGCAGCAGCCCACTTGGGGCGGCATCCTTTGTTGATTTATTTTGAATTTGATTTTATTTATTTTGCTTTATTTCCTAGCTTTTTCATTAAAAAGTACTTTCAGGGTTCGGGCCAATTAAGCGAGCCAAGTCAGTGGCTGCTGCTGCTGCTGCTGTCGATGATGATGATGAAGTTGTTTTGATAAAGGCCCTGCCTTAGAAAACGTGCTCAATTTATCGAAATCGGTGCAGCATGCTGCATGCACTTTGCATGGCCTGCTGCCCAAGATAAACATCATAAATGCATTGAAATGTCATTGCCAATACAGTTGGCTATCAGTGCCGTCTACGCTATGAGATGGCCAAAACCAAAACCCAAACCAAACCAAAAATAAATAAATAGAAGCAGTGAAAGAAAGCGAGCCCATTGCCGATGGCGATAATAGCGAGTCGCTTAACTTGGCCAACAGTCGGGCAGGAGCAGCAAGTGCCGTTACTCCTTATGCAATTACGAGTACCTGCTATTGCCGCTGCTTAATTAGAAGCACATGGACAGACGAGGGCAGCTGCTCTCGAGCCACTCGGGCCTCAATTGTGCTCGTACCGCTGCAGTCTGCAGTCGAAGCCGCTTAGACAGATGATTATTTATCACCGTCGTGACTCGTGCGACAATGACGAGACGGTCAAAGCACCAAATGCCAGCCACACTGGCACACACACACACATGAGAAATAAAATATAAATAAAAATAAATATTTAAAATAAATAAATCAAGGTATAGTAAGAAAGTACTTAAGTTAATAAAAATAAAAATAATAATATATAATAAAATTATTTTAATTATTTGCAATTTTTTTAATATTCAATTTTCTAACCTCAACCACTGTGCATTTCTGGCCACATTCGTATTGGCAACATGTTGCCAAGCGGCTGCTCCCTGCATGTCAGAGCGTCCATTCGATCTCTGCCTTTGGGAGCGCCACATTTGGATGTTCTGTGAGAACTGCGAACTGAGCACTGAGAGCGGAGCAAGCAGCAGGCAGCGTTAGCCAAGTGTTAAGCACTACTTAAATGATATTTCATTTTAGTTAATAACTAGCACTCAGCTCGCAGCTCAGAGCTGGTCGAGCCGATTTCAGTTGTCAATTATAGCTGAAGTCATGCAGTTGCTCCCATTGGTAGGATCGTTGATTGTGCTAGCCCAAGGTCATAACTGGCCCAACGAACCGCTTTTTACATCGAGTAAGCTCCATTCAACTACAACTATTTACTTTAGTTTATTTGCACACAAATCCCTCATCTCATTTTGGGCGCATTGCAGTCCGCTGCTGGGCGATTGTCGATCCGGGTCATTGCAGAGGCAGCTACCGAATGTTTGGCTATGATCCCTACTCTGGCTATTGCATACCCTTTATATACACTGGCTGCGGCGGCAATCCGAATCGCTTTCAATCCGAAATCGAATGCATCAACAAGTGCAAGATGAGCAGCGGGGAGATGGAGTATGACAGCAGCTCCTCAAGCATGAGCCAGGGATCTGGCGATGACGTGCCAGAGCAATTAAACGTAGGAGAATCAAATGAGACCGGAAGTGGAAATAATTCAGATTCAGACTCCAATGAACCAATAATAACCGTCGACTACTATGACACGGTAGTAGCACCGCAACCAATTGAAGATTATGGGGATGATAATTATGTTCGTAGTGATAATAAATTATTAACAGATTAGCTGAAATGCTTTACTTGGATAGATCCATTGCATGCTTATCTGATATCGTTGAGACACTAAGAATAATTTTAGCTGTGTTTTATGTTGTGTTTTGATAAATTTAAATATTAATTGAAATTGAAATTGAATTGAAATTGAAAATAAATTAATTGAAATGGAAATTTACGTTCAAAGGGAAGAGAAGAGAGGAGTAGAGTGGAGGCATATGCTTGTCTTTGCGGATGTTGAGCTTGTCATAGACACAGCTCCAGGCTATAACAACAACAGCAACAACGGCAACAACAATTACAAGTTGCGTAGCCAATGCAGCGGAACTAAATCATTTACGCCTTAAACTGTGCGATCGAATGCCGACTCTGAGCCAGAATCGTATCGCACATTCTAATGTCTTTATTATGAGCAATGCAGAGCAAGAGCAATATATTGTTGCTGTTGCTGTTGCTGTTGTTGCTGCTGCACCCACTAACCAACATGACGTCAGGGGTGTGCCGCAGTCGTCGTCGTCGTCGTCGTCGGCTTGCTGCCTTTTAAGTGTGCCGTATGGTGAAATAAATACGAGCAACCCGTCCGTCCGTCCGTCCAGGGCTGGCTGCATAGCAGTTGACTTTAGCTGGCTTTGACAATTATTTATGGTAATAAAGAGAACCGCTAGCTCTGGCTCTAAGCTGCATCCAGCTACACGAATAGACATGCATCTGCAGGCAACCGAGCGTCAAGCCCATGTGTTACAATTTCTATAAAATTTAACGATCTCAGCGATTTGTGCAAATGCAAAAATGCCAGCGATTGGCAATTAGCAGTCGAGCGCAGCATATTAAAACGTTGAAACGTCATTGAGTTGGCAATGGGCAATGGGCGGGCGGTCGTCCGGTCAAACAAATGGCCAATGTCTCATTAATGCCACACAATGGAGGCAGGCGACGCGACGCGAGGCGACGTCCCGCTGCGTCCAAAATATGCAACATTCATCAATCACACAGCGCTGGCCGCGGAATGAGAATGAGTTCACGGGGTCGGTGTCGGGCGGCCGGAGTCCGTGTTGCGGGATTGATTTGCTTGCCGCAGTTTCAAGTCAATTACACATATTTGTGGCATTTGTGGCACTCGTATTTGGATACCCACCGCATGGTGGGTCGCGCTCGTAGGTGTTAGCCGTTTGTCTGTTTTGCTATGTTTTGCTATGTTTCGCCGTCATCCGTCGATTTTGTTTGTGTACGCGTGGCATGCCACAACAGCAACAACAACAACAACAACGCCGTGTGTATCCGCCCACAATGTTGCGCTTGTCAAACAACGCCACAACTGAGTCACATTCGCAGTCGAACGAACCATTATTCATGTCCAATACATTTGCACACTGGCCATTTGGAGGGCCATCAATGGGTTAACTGGCGTCGCTTATCGAACAGCTGTTCAAAAGCTTCGCACGCCCACCAAACACTCACACAAAGCTAAACAACAACAAAGCCCCAGGCAGTAGACTGATAAGAAAGCTTTTGCTCACTGGGCTGAGCGACGCATGTCTAACAAGCACAGAGAGAGAGAACAAGGGAGAGCGTGTGTGAGAGAGAGAGAGAGAGAGAGAGAGCGCGTGAGTTGAGAGAGTGCGGGTAAGAGCGTGCGCGCGCATTGATAACGAATGCAAGCTCATCACCTAAAGCACAGATTGAGAAATGTTTATAAACGTAAATATTAAAAGCCCTCTTAAATTTTATTTTAATACAATTATTATTTTAATTATTATTATTTTAATTAATAAAATTATATTTTAATAAAAATATTATTTTAATTTAATTAATGAAATTAGATGAAAAATTAATTTAAATTAAATATAATTTATGTATTTATTCACTGACAAATTTCTATGAGTGAGCGCTAATAATATTTGGGTGATAAAAAATAAAATCAAGAAAAAACATAAATAAAAAATAAAACAATTAAAAACTTGTTTTTTATAGAAAACTCAAATATTTAATAAGTTATTAAAAATAAATAAATAAAAACAAATAAAAGGAATACATTTTTTAAAAAAAATTTAAAAATTATTTGTAAATAATATAAAATATAAATAGAATATACATAAAAACTAAATATTAATAACATATTATGAAAAGTACTTAATTAAGGTATTTAAATATATATTTATATATAAATGCATTAATAAAATACAATGCATATTTTTTTTAATTTTTTAAAATATTTTTATAAATATATATATGTATGTATGTATGTATATATACATTTGTACTGTCAGTATTAATTTCAGTTAAATTTAAACACTTTAGAAATATTCTCATTAATTTATAGTTTCTTATAAGACCTTTTTGATATAAAAACTGAGATATTCTCTGGTATTTTTCATAAGATTTTTCCCATATAATAAACTCAAATTCCTGGTTACATTACACAATATTTATAAACAAATTTCCAATTAATATAGTGCAGGCTTTTATGCGCTCCAATTGTTGCAGGTATTTGATCATTAGTGAGGCATTACAGGAATTTATTTTTATATTTATGAGACATTTGATGATTCAGCTAGATTAATGATCATATATATATATAGATATATATACATATATCCATAGAATGCATTTATGTGGCAACCGAGGCGTTCCCCTTGCCACATTCTTTATTCATGATGACAACAAAGTGAAACAAGTTGATACTATTTTTACAACAGTCGCAACTCTCACTCTCTCCCATGCTTACGCTCCCACGCTCTCCCGTTCTGGCAGTGCGCCACTCTCCCTCTCCCCCTCCCCCTCCCACTCTCTCTCTCTATTTGTCGCTCTGATTGACTGTGGTGTCTGACAGTTTAGCACAACAAAATACGTAAACAAATGCCTACTATCGTGTAAATAAACAGAAACGAATTATATATTCTCAGTGCAGAGAGAGCACAGTGCCTCTCTCGCTCTCCCGCTCTCTCTGTCTCTGTGGCTCTCTGCCGCTCTGTGGCCCGCATAGAGCGGCGACTGTGACGGCAGCAGAGCCAAAACAATCAAGTGAAAGCGCTGAGCATATCTAAACTTATTGTGCGGTATTGTATACAACAACTTTCATTGCTGCTCAGCAGATACAGATACAGATACAGATAGAAATACAGAAATACAGATACAGCTACAGATACGACAGCGCTTACGTTGCACAAGAGCCAAAGTGCACGGCGCATGGAGTCAAAGAGCGCCGAGCACGGAGCGTGGAGCACGGAGCGTGGAGCATGCTCCCCGTGCGATGTGTGAAAAGTGTAACAGAAATTCTTACGGAACCCAGACCCAGACACTCGCTGACAGCGTCACAGTCACAGTCGCAGTCACTGAGTCAGAGTCACCAACAGCGCCTGGGCTGGCCGAGTCGTCAGAGTCGTCCGTCAGAGTCTCATCAGTCTCAGTGTCGTCTGTGTGCGCGGTCGGAGCGAAACGCGGGCGTTGCAAACTCATTTCGTAAATGGAAATGTGCTGGAGACGCAGACGGCGCGGCAAGCCAATCAAATGAAATTTATTAAATTGAAGAAGACGTGCACAGCCCAGCGAACGGAAGTGAAAAGTTACACACATCCCAGCAGACATACGAGAAAAAAAAAAACAAACAACAACTAGAGAACACACACATACATACACATATATAGTGTACAGAGTCGAATAAACTAATCGCAAAAGGTAGCTAAACGAATTGCAGTCAGAAAATGTATCTGTGAAGTGGCCATAAATGTGTGTGTGAGTGTGTGTTGGTGTGTGGGAGTGTGCGTGCTCATGTGTGTGTGTGTATATATTCGTATAGTAGTCAAGTGCTTGAGTGGATGTGCGTGTGTGTATATGGAAGTACACGCCTTTCGAGTGCAGCAGCAGCAGCAGCAGCAGCAGCAGCAAGCGCAGCTTTGACTATGATTTTTTTTTCGCTCGGTTTTCCCGCAGCTCAATTTGAACACAAATTGTTGACTAGGGAAACAGGAAATGTGTTCCAGACTAACTGTCGTCTGGCTAATTGAGCCGATTTTCCCATATGCACACACAATGCGCTGTCTGGCCATTTGCCAAGTGCCTCATATCAGGTCAATATCCTTTGACCCAATTATGGCAGAGCACTATAAATTCATAAGCTAAGCCAATTGACAGCGCTGCTCCCACTGCTGCTCCTCCGACAGTGTCAACTCGCTTACGATGGACTTCAATTTCCGTTGGACTAACGTCGACGCCCCCACAGCCCCATGACGCAGGGCACACGCCTCGCAGTTTCTCGAAAGGCTAAGAAAAACGGGAAAAATAAATAAATAAGCAAACGTTGCGTATGGAGTTGTAAGTGGGAGGCGTAGCCCGCCCATTAGTTGGTGGGCGCGGCAGTAGCCCAGTCAAAGGCCGAGCAGGAATACACACACTCGCTCGCCCACTCCCTCTCTCTGTCTCTCTCTCGCTCTCTCTCTCTCTGGAGTTACACACATGCAAAAGCTCTCTCGCGCACGCTTAACTCTCTCCATCTTTGTTCTCTCACCGCTGCCCCCTCTCTCCACTCCTGCTGGCGCCAGGACGTGCCTAACCTACCTTGAGTTGAATTCTATAGTAGCATAATAAAAGCACATGTGTGTGTGAGTGTGTGCGTGCGTGTGTGTGTGTGTGTGACAACGCGTGTGTAAGCAGGTGATTATCTGTTGCAGCGTCGTATTTATCTCATTGAAGCCGCCGTGACAGACGGGCAGGCAGCGCGCTTTCAATTTCAGTCTCCCCATAGAGCGATATTAAGCGACAGACGAACACACGAACAGACGGAGTACAATGGCTGAGATTTCACACAAGTTCAACAAAATTTCATATACATAAATCGACAACGATTTTTAATCAGCCAACATTAACGACTCTCACTTTTTTTTTTCATACAAAATTTTACATACGAATTTCTCTATTGTTAGAATTGCCTATGTAAAGTTATTAATGTTAAGCCAATGCAAGGTATTAAATAGTTGAATTAGAAAGTGTGCTTGAATAATACAAACAAGGCTGCGA